GTGGGATGTTCTGCATGTTTGACCATGGACCGCACGCTGGTGCCATGAGGATGGCATCAAGCGCTTGTTCCTTCATGATCTCAATGGCCATGTGTCGTCCTTTGGATGTCATTACGTCAGATCCGTTGCGGATGCTGATGGGTGAGGCCGAACACATAATCGGTTTCCAATTATTGCCTTTCAATCCTCAAGAGACGAAACACCTGCTACCATAATGAATGCGACAACTCATCAACAACAGCGTATGTTGCAGTGCTTTCAGTCATGGTCATGTGAAAACGATAGAAGTGCAGAGTAGATATGACACTTTCCAACTAGAATGGTGGGAGGTAGGCCCTGCAAAGTGGCCATACCTCCCTTTCTGCGCACCTACTATGCAAAACCTCTTACTTATAAGGCAGAAGTGGTTGTTGCACATGTTTTACGGGTTAGAGATTCCGGTTGCGCATTTTCATGTTGAAAAGTGAGAACCGAGGGGAAACAGCAATGTCCCAACGGGAACGGTTATGCTGTCCTGTAACGCTGGTGCAAGAGTTCCGAATAGGAATCGCAGCAACGCAATCAGCCGGATGTTCTATTTTTCTGCTCTCTCGAATCACGCCGCGATCCTGTGTGGATGGCTGGGTTAGAGAACTTGTGACTTGAGCCACCACGTGTATGTGTTGCAAAACACACATGTCGCTGTGCTGCTATTCACAAAAACAACAGCAATGAGTTCCTAAACTTTCCAAGAAGTCACCTCTCCGTCTGCCCTGCAAAGCAGTGCCGTTGCCAGGAAGCCAATCCTGCAGGAGAAAATCATTCAGGCCGAGATTTCGCTTCGGCGCCATGTGATCCACCCCGTGTGGTGTGTCTTTGTTTGAGGGTACCCTTCGCCCTAACCAGGAGGAAACACCCAAATTTTGGTATGAGGGAGGCGGTTTCTTGGTCAATCGGCAGGAGTCCCTCTTTCAGCGAGGCGCTGCGCACCCTGCGTCTGACAGAGGGTTTGCCTATGAGGCTGCATAGGCACATGGCAGTTTGACCAGTTTATACGGGTGCATGGGGGATTGATCAAAGGTCCTTTCCATGGGACCATAAAGAGAACCACCACAACAAACGGCGTCCTCTTTAATTGGGTTGGGAAAGTTACCCCCATTTAGACGCTAGGAATATTGATCAATTTCCACATTTTGCCTTAACGAGCCACGCGCAGAGCAAGATGATTCGTGCGACGTACTTGGGGGGTTCCCAAGAAGGTGACTACTCCCGTTCAGATGTTTTTCAAAGGGGAACTCAATGGACGCTAGCCATGTGTGGGGCTCGACTCCTATGTTGAGATCTCAACTGAAGCCTTCACTACTTCAACGGTGAGTTGCGGGGGGTGGGTGCACATCCTTGGCCGGTTATTAGTCAGGCGGAAACATTACCCAGAAATCTTCATTCTCATCAATGCAAACCTCCCACTTGTTCATAGGGATTGGCATCCGGGGCGGGCCCTGAAAATTAGTGGCTTAAAATTCTGGTAACCCCGCAGAAAAACAGAAACCACATGCCAAGCACCCAATTCACCCAGCTTGACCCATGGCTCACTGCGGAGGTGCCGAAGATCGTGCAGGAAGCTGTGCCAGGGTCCAGACAGCATTTTTTTCTCAATTTTTCCTTTGGGGCTGGGGTGTCTTGAGACTTGGAGGATGTTGAGCGTGTTGTTTGACGGACCGACCAGTGTCTTGCGTGTTTGGCTTGAGAGGAGACAGCTCGAAGAGGTCCGAGTTTCAAGCCACACACCCTTGTTTGGCCTGCTATTGCTTTATCATCAAGCAGGAACAAATGATTGGGGATGGCCGAGAGCCTCAAAGAGCAAGGCTGTTGCAAGCCGATCATTCAACGTGAACAACCTGCATAGCTACATCCCTGATGTGCTGTCCAAGGTTAACAGAATCATATGCAAATCTGTGCGTCAAAGAACAGCAGCATGTATTTGCCGCCATTTCACGCTTTTTGGTTTGCTTTTGTCTAGTTCCAGGAGCCAGACAACAGGGTTCCATATACTTCTTCCTTGGGTGGTTGTAAACATCACCTGTTGGGCCAGTTTATTTGGAGACTTTTAGTGGGGGGAGGTTTACAGCGGAAACATAGGGACGCCGGAACAAGGCAATTGCAGCATGTTTCGGATCGGAGAGGAGATATCAACATATCCCGTTGTGTTTCCAGCGATCTTGCCATTGGGGAAATCTGAACGAGCTCGGGTGAACGAGCTCACCAATGCAGGCACCTTTCTTGTGGATTCCTTATTTCTGGTGTTGGAATTGTTGTAATTGGTCCAGAAACCACTCGGAGTGGAAACCCCAGTAGATAATGTGGCAATTTCCGCTTAGGCCTGTGAAGAAGGTGGTGCAGCGCAGTGTGGAGGCAGTGGGGCTGCGTTTCGCGCCGGGCCTCTTTCTCTGAGGACCTCACAGAAGCGGCATTTTGCTTGCCACCTTCCACCCACGGGGGTAGGATTGGGCTCTTATTTGTTTCTGTTTGTTTGTTGGTCCAAAGGTTCTGTGGGCAAAACAACATGACAGCCATGGTGCGGGGCAGGATTATATGTTTGTTGTGGTTCTTGGTCCAGTGGCTTTGTGAGGATGTTGGGCATCATGTGCAACGTGTCGCGCAACATTTGCGAAATGTTGCGCAACATGTGTGAACCAAGTTGAGAGCCTCGGACATGCTGCGCTACATGTGCGGCCTTTTCCATAAATGTTAACTGTTTGGGGTGGCCGGGATTCAAGATTCCCCAAGAAACTGTTCTGTGCAAATCTTGGATATTGGATCCAGCCCGAAATAGCTCTTAGGTGTTGCCAGAGACATTTTTCACTCGAAGGCCCTTCTTGTTCGATCGAATTCTCCCATTTCTGCGCAGTTTGACCTTTTGTGAGGGGAGGAACGGTGATCTTAAATCCCCTTGCTCAGTGGCACCCCGAAATATTGTCTTTGGAGACCACGCAAAATTTATCCAAAAAGGGGATCCCTTTGCTGCCGTTCGAGTCACCGGGCCCTGCAGATTAGCATGGAAGCTGGAGAACCTTGGTTTCTACAGGAAGCTCCAATGAGCAGCGAGCTGGGAAATTCAATCGGATAACCTCCCTTCCCTCAGTTTTTATGGTGGTTTGTAGGGAGTGTCCAGTTCTGTCTGCGCTTTTGGTTGTTGCTTGTTCTTCTATTGTTTCGTGAAGGATGAGGCCTTTGCATGTTTCACAGGATTTCTTTGTGGGCTTTTATGAAAACCCCATGCAACCCAATGGACCGTTATAAACTCCCAACAGCAAAGCAAACCGCCAGACTTTCCCAGGTGCCAACGGTGGAGTTTGAGGACCGCACGGCGCCGGCGCTCAGCGGATCCACAACCCACCGGGGGTTGCGAGCTCACGCGGACGCGGAAGTACAAAGCTTTTGGAGAAAACCAGAAGGTCCCCTACAAACCTTTTGATGCCACAAACTACTACAAACTCATTGGTTTCCCCTTTAACCTTTTTGGTCAAGTGGGCCAAGAAATGTAGACATGTGCTGAAGGCTCCGAAATCTTGGGGTCCTACATAAATTGGGGCTGTACTTCGCCCAGATGCATGTATTGGTCCGTGGTGGGTACTTTGATTGAAATAGGCCGGGTCCTGCATGTGCTCAAGCCTAATGCTGTATTCCTACTCACCGAGCTGTCCACAAAGTAGGGGCTGAGCACGGCAGATATATTGACCAGGCCACTTAGCCTGAGTGCTATGGTTCCATGGTTCTTATAGGGATTGGACAACGTGTTGTTGTCCCCACAGTCAGCGGCCAACATATGAGGCAAGGACAGAATTATTTGGGAAAGGTGTTTTTTTCAAGACTGGATTTTTTGCACTTTCCTGGGAGAACGATGGGGGATTCACAAAAACTCGATACCCCTTTGAGCACGAAAAATGAACACCATGCATTCGATCATGAGTTTCTTGCTCAAGTGTCTTTTCACAGGTTGTAAGTCGTTGCCCTGCAGGGAGCAACGTGCGGTTGGTGTTCCGCTCCCTTTGGAGGTTTCGTCGGACACGTTTCAAAATCGCACGGTGCGAAAACGTAGGCGCGCAATCCTTGTTCATCGGGCACGTTCGAGGCGTGCCATCCATGCCGAGGTTTCATCGGGCACTGCGCGCAAAACATGATGAACCATAGGGGTCTCACTAAAAGTAGAATCAACGCTTCCCACGCAGCGCACATTGAAGCTGGCTCATTTTCATGTGCCGTATTCATATACTGAGTGATGACACCATTGTCGTGCAATCATGCAACTGAGTAAACATACAACTGACCACACCTGTGTGGGCAGGCAGGTAGGAGCTGAAATGTCATGCGCGCAAATGTGAATAAAGAAACACACACCGCAAACACACAAATGTGCATACAAGTATGAGTACATTTTCACACAAACACGTACAACATGTCAATATGGGTTGCCGTGTGTCATTGGAGGCTCCTTCGATGCGATGCTCCGTAAGATGTTGTAGTGCTTGAAGCGCCAAATAAAAGGAGCGAAAGCAGGAGCGCACCTTGAAGCAAAGGCTCTCAAATGAAACCTTGCGCGCTTCTGGTGGTGAACGTTTTTAGATGCCTGCCCCATGGATGCAGCCCGACTGATGAATTTGACCAGCTACCCGCTTTTGGGCACAAGATGGAATGAACCATGTGCTGAACGTGGTGTCAAAAGCAAGCCTGTCTGGCTCGAAAGCAGATGTTGGCAGGATAGTTGGCGGATGAAATACTATCCAACATACGGTTTTGACCCACAGTTTGCAGCACGGATGAAGGATATCCAAGGTTACAAACCAAAACAAGGATTAAGCGCATTGCGGATCACGATTGGGCCCCCCCAAGATCTCGATCAGGCTAGAAATGAACGTTTGTAGGGCCATATGCCAAGGCTCGAGTGAACAGCAAGGCAAGCAAGTGGCTCCGGCAATTTAAGCACACTTATGCACAGGCTTTCCTGATTTGATTTCAAGTCGATGGACCTGGAAGCGAAGAGCCGGGAAGTCCTGGCCCGCTTTACGGAAGAGGGCCATGTGCGGCAAAGCCTGGAAGGCGAAGCTGGGAAATTCGGGTGAAAATTCGGAGCCCTCCGGGCGCGTTCTTTTTCTGGAGTCGGCACCAGTTTTTTGAGTTGCTTTTGGACGGAAAGCAGAATTTGAGGGCCTTGCGACCTCACTTGGAGCTTTCGACCTCACTTGTGAGGAAGACTCCTCAAAAGGGTCTCCTCATTGAGTACATTCTCTTGTGAACATGATCCATTTTGGTTGTAAAGTACCCTGGCTCATTGTAACTGTTTAACTCAGTGGGCCCTCATAGTGGTTTCCCTTCCACCATCTTCCACCCACTGACATGTAAGAGAAGCCAATCTCCAGGACTGAGCCTCGAGATCATGCTGACCGATGAGTTGTATTTGCTTCAGATGGTGCGTGTCGAAATGGGGAAGCGAACGAATTCCTGGACCTCCCAACAGCAATACACATGGTAACTTGTTATTTGTTTGTTTGTTTGCTTGCTTGCTTGCTTGTTTGTTTGTTTGTTTGTTTGTTTGTTTGCTGGTTGGTTGGTTGGTCGGTCGGTCGGTCGGTCGGTCGGTTGGTTGGTTGGTTGGTTTTGGTTGGTTTTGGTTGGTTTTGGTTGGTATTGGTTGGTATTGGTTGGTATTGGTTGGTATTGGTTGGTTTTGGTTGGTTTTGGTTGGTTTTGTTTGGTTTTGGTTGGTTGGTTGGTTGGTTTGTTTGTTTGTGGCATCATCTCCTTCTCGTGGAGTGGACACACTCGCAAGGCCGGAAGTACTTGACGCCCTTTGTGGTGGGCCTTCTGGTGGAGTGCGCTGGCAAGGAGAACATATTCACCTCTGGACCAGAACTAGAGAGACGCGGCAGCAGCTCGCATTTAGGCGACCCATACGTCTTGCCTTGCTCAAGCCCGGCCCCTTCTTCTGTGATCCCCTTCCCAAACTTCAAGCCAAAGCTTGGCTGAGTTTGCTTTGTCTCCCAATGGGGGAGCCATTTGGATGGTTTCGTTTTAGCTTCTGCATGAAGCGACATCCAAACGCGCACCCTTAAAAAAACAGTTTTTCAGAATACTATGGGGGTTGTTTGATAGACCCTGGTGCCGCCTTGTGCCGCCGCTTAAAGGGGCTACCAGAAAAGGCCCGTATTTTTGGCAACCCCATGTTATATATATATATATATGTATACTCTGATCATATGTGTATATATATATATATGCATAGCTTTGTTTGGCTGCATATTTGGGGGGGGGGGGGGTAAAGAGATGCGGTATGGCTTCAAGGGCCTGAAGAGTCATTCCTTTGACGGAATCCATTGTCAGTTCAGTTCTATGCGAACCATGTAACACATCGGTTGTTTCCAGCCTTGAGGTCCGGCTTGAAGGTAGAGAAGACTAGGTGCATTGCGAAGCGCTTAGAGCGATTCAACGAAACACCCAGGAAGAATCTGTGGCAGCGGTCTTTGGCACCACTTGTAGGGGTTGTTTCAAAGGGAAACCAGAGAGCATCACCCAAAATGGGAGGTCCCCCCTCTTGATTGACAAACCTAGGTCTCCCAGTGCCCTTTTACCTTTCTTTGGGAGGGTTCCCCTACTAAAATAGACTACAAAAGGGTACCCTTATTTGCCAACCTCTCTACTGGAGGACCTAGAAACCCATCTTGGGAGCACTGACCCAGTTCCCCATAATGAGCCATGCCCGGTTTCTTGGCGCAGAAGGTTCGACAGGTGTCGCAAATGCCAAAGAGCTAGACCATGGGGTAGAAACTGCCGGACACTATGAACCCAAGAAACTGCAGACCGCTAAGGCTTAACTTTCCTTCCCACGGAATCTCCAACTTACCTTTCTATATGTGAAGAGAGGTCATCCATTCGTCTAGGTTGGCTGGCAGCCTACAACTGTTTTCTGCCAACAATGACAATCCAAGACAAGAATGGGCTGGAATGTTGTTTGTTTTTGCACCTGCAAATTCGCGTGTGTGTCAGCTGCGAATTGCATTCATGTCACATATCAGTCCCAAGTGAGGGAGAAACAGAGGGAAGAAAGAATGGACTGGGAAGTGCTGAACTGATACAGCATTACAAAACATAAACTGTGATTCACATTATTACAGTCATGATACTTCAAGCCAGAAGGATGGATTATGAGCTGTCAACTGAAACATGGTCGAAGCCCTTTCTTATCTCATTTTTCAGCCGGCGTGAGGCTTCTTTTGAATGTCACCGTTGGTCCAATTCAATGTGAGCTTTGGTTTGTTGTGTTGTTCACTCAAGTAACGTCTGGCCGCGGGTTGGTTTCATCCAGTTTTAGTTTAATATCAGCTTGCGTTCTAAAGGTGAAGAAATTGTTTCTTTTTGGACGAGTCGGCACAGGCCCCTAATTTTCAGGGAATGGGCCCCTTTCGGTCACACATGTTTACTCTGCAAAGGTTTGGTTTTTACAAGGCCTGGTTTCCAAGTAACATGTCTCACAAAGGTCTCAACACTCCACTCGAATCCTCAATGCGTTCAGAGGTCACATGGATGCAGAGTGGTCCCGCTGTACCAATCAAAGACATGACCTGACATGGATCAATGGAATACACACTTCTAACTAATCTGGAAGGGTTCGTAAGGGTGTGTGTGTGTGGGTAGTTTGGTTTTGGAGGTGTCTTAAACCACCTTGGTTTAAAAGAGGCCCAAAAAGAAAACAACCATTTGGGGGGTCCCTATTTTGACCACAAACCCATGAATCCAAAGTCGAGGAAGAAGCGGAGACAGTGCTTTTGTAGGTCTTGAATTTTGTGCCTCACATTCAAAGCATCGGCCTGAACTTGCCGAACATACAAATGTGGGTATTTATCAAAATAGTGGACCCCTAAAATTGGTTTGTTCATTGCTGGTTCCCCTTTGGACCCCCATCCAAAAGGGGGTCCAGCTTGAGAAAATCCCATGTAAAGGGGTTACCATCAATCTGAGGAAGCACTCCGCGGATCACTCGCACCACTTGCCCTGCTTGCCCGAAGCGGTGATCTATCCCCGGTCCACGGAGATGGTCAGCGAGGTGATGAAGATTTGTCACAGGCGATTGGCAACTTGAAGCGATCGTTCTCACGAGTTTGGGTTCAAAGTGTGTGCTTTTTCCCCGGGCTCCTCAACTTTTTGGGCCAAGCTCGGTTGGAGTTTGGTTGCAAGTGCCTTGAATCGAGCCACACACACACACACATAGGTATCCTTTTTGGATCTTTTTGGTAGGTTTGAAAATAGACTGAATCCGTCATTTCAGTTCAGCTTGTTCAGCTCGAGAATCGATCCAGTTTTTATACTGGTGTTCCGGTATAAACAAAAAAGGCCATGAATTTCAAGATATTTCAAGAGTCGGAACCACCTCCCAAGTGGTTGGTGGACATGAATCCCCGCCGAATTTTGATGTCCACCAGTTTGTTGCAATAAAAAACACCCCCAAAACACCGAAGACGTGAACTCCAGCGGCGCCTTTTCTCTGATGCAGGCAGCGGGTGCCAGTGACACCCTGCGGTGCCAGGAGTTGAGAGCGGGTGAGATGGGTGCGGGTCAAACAAAAAATTGGGGACGTGTTTCATGTTTGTTCGGTTTGTGGGGAGAAGGCGCCAAGAAAAAAGGGTTGGTCAAGGGAAGCCAAGGGAGACCGAAGCGCTTTGCAAGTCCGATTCCTAGTTTTAGGGGACACACCATGTTGCCTGTGTTGGTTTGTTAGATGAGACGTAACACTCACAGTCAGTTGTGTTTGCGAGTCTTTGTTTCGTAAAGCGATGTTTCCAAACAAAAATACAAAACATTCAGAAACCTTCAGAACCCACCACTCCCCTTCCAAAGCCTCTTTGGACCCCTGATTTCCAGAAGTGCAGAATTTTGAGCAGTAAAACATGGGTGTGTGTCTGTAGAAGATTTGCCAGTACCAGAGCGACAACATGGTGGAGAAACCAGGGAGCCACTCACTGTGGTTAATCCGTCTCTATTTGGGCAATTTCTGGTACTGGTCCGGAACTCTTAATCAATTGCTGGGAAATCAGTGGGGTTGGTTCAAGGCTTGCACCGTGCCCTTCTTGGCTTCCTGAATTTGGCAAGCAACTACTAAAAGTTTGAGATAGGACGGGCTGAAACTTTGATATCCCTTACCGCTGTCATTTCCGGGTGACTTAGGGTTTCGGGTTGGCAGCAGCCCTCCTGCTTGGTGATGAAAGCGCTACTCTCCAGCCATCCCACCAGAAACAAACAATAGCCATGTGCTGCGCAGCAATACTTTGCCTAGGTTGGTAGGAACGCTATGGAATTGTCTAGCATCCGAAGGCTCGACGGCCCATTCAAGTAACAAGAAGTCTTGAGGGTTGCCAAGTGAATGGAAGAACCCTGTGGTGGAACATCAGCCATCTGAAAAGAAAACGCTAAGGTGGATAAGGTGCATCATTTGCCCAGCTTTTGGTGCGTTCCCGGCGCTTGCTTACAGGACGGGCTTGGAGGGTGGCTGCATCCCCCTCGGCGGGGTGTCGCTGGACCTGTCCAAGATGACACTCGGAAAGCTTCGAGATGGAAGGGATCATAGGAGCACCGAACACCCAGACTGGGCATTTTAGAAGTTCTACAAAAAAGTGGGCCCCGACAGCGGGGGGGGGGGGGGGGAGGTCGGAGATCATTTGACAAGGATTAGAGCAAGGCCTGGATCATAAACCTGTACAACCATCTTACAAGAACCAAAAGTCAATATCAGCGGTGCTCACATGAATGCCCCAGAATGTTGCAATTAGAAACCGAAAGGGGCTTACCCAAATCTGATATCTATCAGCCTGGAAATCTGATAGGGGCCGGACCAAAACCATTGCACACATGGCTCCTTCTGGGGATGCGAAGGCAGCTCAGTATCTAATTGTTGGCTGATGGTAGGTAGCATTATGGCGGGGACCATGCTGAATCAGGGAGCCTCAAATGGCGCCAGTGACGCTTTCCGGGTAGCAATCAGCCATTCGTTTGACTCGCTGGCCTCTCAAATTGCTGCACACGTTGCATTGGTTGGGGTTGTGTGCCACTTGCCACGGAAGGAGCCACTCATTTTGAGTTAGCCTAGCCCTTCGGCCACGCGTTGCAAACTCGAAGCCTCAAGCGAGGAACCAAGTGCTGAAGCTGCACCGAGAGGAGTTGCAGGTCCACGTGCAGGCAGGCATCAAGAAGGAGATGCTGAAGCTCAGAGCAAAAATGGACGGTTGCCTTTGAAAAAGCTCATGTCTTTGCTTGCCATGGCGTGGATGTTTGTGGATGTAAGGAAATGTTTGTGCGTGCGCGTAAGTACATGAAGACAAATTGTTTCGATTCGAGAGGGAGAGAGAAGGAGAGGGAGAGAGAAGGAGAGGGAGAGAGAAGGAGAGGGAGAGAGAAAGAGAGAGAGAGAGAGAGAGAGAGAGAGACAGAGAGAGATGGCATGCCACTTTCACGCATTGTACCCTGAAAGCAAGAAGTCTAGCACCATAGAAAGCAGCAAAGATTAGTATACGGCGCAGCGATGTTTCCCGAGGTTGAGAAGCAGGCTGGCTTTGGATGGCAAAGGAGAAATCACTCAAAATCAGCAGAATGTTGACCCCAGATTCATAAAGCTGGCGGATTAATTGGGAGTGTTCGCCGAAGCATGATCGAAACAATCGGGACCACACACGATCAAAATACACCGAAGAAGATTCTCCCGACGTGTTTGGCTCTGGCTTCCGAGGTCCGATTCACTTTGGGGAACAGCTCGGGATAGCGGGCCATGGGTCGAGGGTCGGCGGAGAGAGCCTTGTGTCAGGAATGACTACCTGGAGCCCCAGGGCCGGGTCGCCAGGGCGCTGGGGGACTGAACCTGGACCAACCCGATGCCTGAAGACCCTGTTTTAGGGGATCACATGTTAGCATATGCAGGGGAGTGTGCCGTTGAGATTTCGGGGGCAGGGTTCGAGCTCGCATCGTAAGCCCGAAGTCCGAGAGCATCCTGTGAGTGTGTTGTTCCACTGTAACGTGGTCATCAACGCACAAAACCACACCGGGTTCTGCGAAGAAAAGCAACAATCCGCAAACGCGAAGTAGGACTCAGGCCAGCACAGGCTGGCACACATGCAAGGCCCACCAAAAGTGGGTTCTCCCCCAATTTCACCTTTCCTTCAAAACACCAGTGGGTCTTTCTCCGCGAAAGACGAGCCACCCGTGGCTTCGCTGGAGCCATCGCGAGGCCTCTTCTTCCAGGTGGACCCGGCCTCGAACCCCTCGCTGGGGGGCATGGCGGCCTGCGGGTCCTCGGGGACGCTGTGCTGCAACTACGGCACCATGAAGGACCCGTGGCCCGCCGCCGTGAGATGCGGCGAAGCGATGTGCGTGGATTCTTGGGGGAATGTGGGGGTTTGGGGATGCGGGGGGGGTGGGGAGCACTTGTTTGCCCCAAACCCTAAATTTCGAAGTGGCCATGATGTTGCAGTGAAAACACCCTCCAAAATAATCATAGAGACATTTATTCATGCCCAGTTCCCCGCCGTAGAATAGCTGTTGCCGGATTGCTCCCTGATGCCTTGGGGAGCACAAAAGTTTGGGATGAAGCACAATTGACACGAATTTGATCCAAGCAGTGTTGACCCACTTGCACAGGTGTTGCAGTAGTGCACAAACATATCTGGGTGAATTGCAATAGATCGTGCTCAGCTGACTGGAGATTTGAGGAAAAGAAGGTGGCCATACGTTCACCATCGCGTGGCTAGCTGTCACGATTTGTTGCATTTATCGCTTCTTTAGTGTGGATTTGTGTGGATCTGTGGAATGTTGCAGAAAAGTCATCAGCCTCACATGAATCAACATCGTGATGGCCCCCCCCACAATCGTAATGTCTAGAATCCATCGTAGAGATGCAAAGCTTGCAGGAGAACGTCGTCTCCTTGACGGTGCCTCGGCAAATCTCATCCTCATGCCTCCTAAGTATTGTCCCCCAATCCGACGATCAAAAGCCTGCATGGACACGAGAAGGATTCTTGTACACAAGGCTTACCTTTTAAACCCACATCTTTGACCCCCCCCCCACAGGGGTTTAAACGAAAGGCCCTTCAATGAGGAGTATACAGACCCGGACGTTCCGGAATTTAATCCTCCATCCTTCACCGGCGATGGGACAAATGGCTGGCCACAAGGTTCCTTGGGGCTTCAGGAGCTTTGCCGGGCAGTCACAGTGAATCACATTGAGTAACTTCCCTTTGGCTTGAGCCAAGCCCCTTAGCCCCTTCATGTCGCGTTGCCTGATTTCCTGGAATTTGTTTCATCAGAGAGTCTTTGTCAGCCAACTGCCTAGCAAGCTGTGCTTGCCATCAACATCAAAGCGGGCTCGCGAAAGACAGTTGACCGATCGGGTTTGCAAAAAAGACGGCAACATGTCAGTAGGTAATATATCCAGCATCATGGGGAGGTTGGGTAGAAGCCACGCGTGCAAATTCACATAGAGACCCCAAAACGAGTCACTGACTGTGTCCCCATCAAACGGTGGGTTTCATGCAGTGGTTCTGTCATACCCATATTTGGGATACCTAATGCTGCATGGACCGACCCAGTCTCTATATGGGCTTACCCCCCGGCAGCTGCAAGTCATAGCGGCTGAAAACGACTCCTGCAGAGATTTGTGTCGGGGTCATGGTACCATCTGGAGTAAATCATGTTCTTGGATTGTGCACCAGAAAGCAACACATACATATACATATATATATATATATATGTATTTATGTATACATATATATATATATATATGTAGAGATGTACGTTGTGTCTTGCCCCAACCCTGGGGTACACCGAGACATCTTCTTCAGATTCTGCTTCATATTTGGTCTACCCAGAAGATACAACATGACTTTTGGAAGCAATCCCAGGTATAGACAGGGCTCTCAATTCATCGCTTTCAGAAGCTCGAAAGGCTCCCTAAAGTTGAGGTGGTGCTGGCGGACGGCACAGTGATCAGCACCCGGCGCGGGGTGAGGAAGAATTCCACGGGCTACGACCTGACGCACCTTTGCATGGGCCAGGAGCTGGTTGGGGAAGCCAGTTGGAAGGGGGGAGAACAAGGGACGCGCGCATACACACTTAAATACACTTGTACAAGTCAACCAAGCATATATATATATATAATATGAGGAAAAGGCATGTTCATTGCGTGTTTGCTTGTTGGACGCGAACTGACAAATATGGCCACACATGAAATTGCAGCGAACATAGATGGCTGTGTAGGGAGTAGTAAGCTGATCTCAACACATTCCCTGCAACTGGAATGCGCCACAATCATCCTGATTATCGCGAAATCAGCATCAGCCAAACGTTTCTGGGTCCTTTTTCTCGGTTTGCCTGAGCATCCCCCCAGGGGCAAGAACACTACCCTGATCCGGTGTCCTTTGAGGGAGTTCAGGGGCGAACCCGATGGAGCAACAAAAAACCGGGAAGTGTTAGAGGTAAACCGTGAAACCCAACCCAGCCCAAAAAAGATGAGGAAACCTGCGAGCAAACAAAAACGTATCCCCAACAGCAACCCCAGGATCCCTTCCGGAACCCTAGCCCGCTGCGCCACGGCTCGGTGCCAAATCCACGGCTAGGAGGGCACCTTGGCAGTGATTGCGGAGCTGGTGGTGAAGGTCACCCCTCTGCCCAAGGGGGAGAGCTCCCTACAGGTCGCCTTCCGGTCCCTGCAGGAACTTCGGTTTGGGAGTTCTGAGATCGGGGAACCCCTCGAAGTTGGGAGGCCAAACATGCCCGCCCAAATGTCCCATGTTCTTTTGGAGAAACAAGTAATTTTGTCGGTGGCTCGCCCCGCTTCTAATGGACTTACGTTTTGTCAGTTTCAGTGCGTCGGTCGACACTGAGGCCATTGGAATTTGAGTGCCAAATCTAAGTCGCCAAATCTAAGTCCGAGAAATTGAAATCCTATTCCATCTGAAAAGAAGTTACTTCCTGTTCAGTTCCATGTAAGTTCTAATCACATACAGTTTGACAGTCAAGGTCGGGTTTGTTCTCTACAAATGCTCTGTCATAGTGGTTGGTTCTTCTCCTGTTGCAAGAAAAATTAGCAAATCAGCAACTTGGGAAAGGAAATTATTCCCATCAAGATTGCTAATTGAAAATGAATTTCGAATCGATTACAGCAATGCTGTAGGTCCTTGTGCGGTTCCATTTACATTCTAATTGAATTCTATACATGTCTGAGTCCAGTTACGTTCTAACTCTATTCTCGTAAAATCAAATTTTGGAAAGCAACCCCAGCTAAAAGATGTGTTTCTTGTCTAGCTCGGTTGACATTTGTCAATAACATCTATTGAAAGTCAAATGTGGAAGAATGTCCTATTTAAATTGATGTCTTAAGTTCAACTCCAACCGAATATGTTTCCTTATGATGCCGAATTAAAAACACAGAGAAAAAGCTATGTTCCTTATCTAATTCCGCCTGTCTTGAAGTGTGTCTCAAATAACATGTTCTGCCCCTTGGACAAAATGCAGCAAAATGTGGCATTTGTCAGCAGTGTCAATTCATTGTTCCCTCCTTAACAAAAAGGTTGAACTCGGCAGTGTTCTCCTCAAGAACGGGTTCTTCCTGAATTCAACAAGAAGGCCTTCCATACGTTGGAAACACACTTTAAAGTTTGTGGGGAAACCTTAACGATGTTGTTTGCCTTGGATCCAAGATCCAAGAGCCAAGATTGCACAGATACGTTTCTTGGACATCTTGGATCCAGGCGACCCAGCAAATATATGCAAAGTATTTGAACAAGTTTAACGGGCGTTGGGCTGGATCCACTTGTCTGTGCAATCTTGGAAATTGGACCTACCTCCCAAACTTAAGATGTTTGGACAACTTGAAAGGTGTTCTTAGCATAGAGGCCTTCTTGTTCAATCTAAGAGATTCCAGGTTTGACCCTGATGTTTGAGGGGTAAAAGCAGCAGAGCGGTAATGATGACACAAGCTGTGTATTGCAGCGTTTCCTGAGCAAACATAGGTTTGGGGGGCCCACACACATACAAAATCATGTGTAGCGACCTCGCAAAGAGCTTCGGGTTGCGACCGAAACCTGTGAAGGTTCTTTTGCGGGTCCATTTCTGTTTTCAGCCTGGTACTTCTTATGTTTTTTCCCCCAGATGAGAGGGGAGGGCTCCAAAATTGGTTCAATTGTTAGATGTTCATCCCCCAAACGGCTGTGGCTCAAAAACATGTACCAAAATGGCACCTTGGTAAATGCCACCAAAGACCTGCTCTTTAATTTTGAGCCAGGCCGTTCTCGCTGGTTGGCTGTGGACGGTGTCAACATCCCCACTCCGAAGCCTGGTTCAGTGACCCCCCCAAACTTCCAAAGCGGATGGGATGGAGCCTAGTCTGCACGGAGACGCGTGTTAACCCCCCAAAACCAAAGAGACGACGGAACCCCCAACAACTGACCAACTGTGAAGGAGCCTGGATTTCGAGGGTACCCTGTACAGGGAAACCAAAAGGAACATCACGCATGTTGAGAATTCCCCTATAGACAAATCTACGTGGATGCGTGCAGTTTGGAGGCGGTTCAAGCCGATCCCCTCTTCAACCGTTGAACCGTTTGGGAACTGATGAAGTCTTTCCCACAGCTACGCTGGTAAATGGGATCACTGAGATGCCGTTGCTCTTAACTAGGGAATGTTCGCGTCATTTTCCGGGTAGGCCCACTTTAGTATCACAGAAAGGGTTACTGTGAGGTCCTAAATCTTTCGAATGTGGTCGCGGGGAACCGTAAGCTACCTCATGATCTTGGGAGAACAGTGGTCGTCATGTTTTCGCCCTTTACATATGACGCCAGGGTGAAAGTGGATGGCGCAATTCCCTTTGTATGGGTAAGAAAGGGAGGTCTCACCCCAAATGGCTCGCTGCCATCTGCCTTCACCCCACGGGATGTCCCGCAGCAGCGCCGCGCATCCGGTGAGGACTGCTCCAGGGCCGTCCTGCGCCTGCGGGAGGCGCGGCTGGGCCTCAGCCGCTGCGAGCTGCTGAATAGGCGAGGGGTGGTTCACCTGACGCCTTGGCTAGATCCCCAGCTAAGTGCCCCTTTTACCGTTTCATTTTTTGGGGAAGGTTCCCCTACTAAAATAGTCTACCTAAAAAAGGGCACCCGTATTCTGACCTCTCTACTGGAGGACCTAGTTGCACTTCAAGCCGAGATTTGTTCAACCGTGTTATGATGATGGCGTACTTTTTTGGAAGATCCGTTGCCAGACACAGGTCGCCAAAGGGCCCTTTGCCTTTTGGGCTTATCGTTTTGCCAAGCCCAAAACCGTAGAGCCGCAGGGCGCCCCTTGGCTTCCAGTTTCTTCACATTCCAACATTCACCACATGTCAGTGGGATCCCCTTCCAAGATTGCTAGCAGACATAAACCCCTCAAAGGTTGTTTTCGGACTTAAACCCCGGTTTTTTAGCATGCCCAGCAACAGGTTGAAATCAAATCCATACCCATCTCAAACGAACAAAGCCCTGTACATGGGGCCACCTACGCAGGCAGAGCGTCGAGTCCCTAAACGCGATGAGCGCGGGAAAGCCGCTGGAGGCGACGTGTTGAGGATGTGTGGCTGGGAGTTGGGTGTGTTTTCGCTACGGGTCCCCTTGTTGGCCCCTTGTTGGCCCCTTGTTGGCCCCTTGTTGGCCCCTTGTTGGCCCCTTGTTGGCCCCTTGTTGGCGCAAAGGGAAACCAAACGGAAGCCAACCTTTTGCAGATCCCATATTTGGATATATTGGCGTATGCCCATTTGGGGGTGGGTCAAACAAATGCAAGGCCTGTCAAAATGCCAACACCACCTGGAACACAAAACACATGTGATGACAACATGACTATAATCAAGAAAGGAACGAGCAATGCATGAAGGCTTTATTGGGCAACAAGGCTGGCAATGAGTAGGGGTCACTATGATCCACCGAAGGGGTAGATTCAAACCATAGTGACACCCTGAACATGTCGCCAGAATAGCAGCTTGGTTTTGTGTATTGCTGTGTGACCATCCTGTGTGTGCCGAGCAAGCATGTTGAAAGCGACACGGCGTCGATGCGCCAGCAATCGGTGCTAGGATTGTCGCATCCAAGGCCCGCCTGGCAAAGCTGCCATGTTTCATTCTCTGACTCCGGCTTCTTATCTTGATAGATCGAAAAACACATGTCATAGACGCAACTTCTTGAAAGCGTCAGAGGATTTTCTGGCAACAGATGGGGTTGTACAAACTAGCAAGCTCGAGGCGTCAGAGTCGGTGCTGTCCCTTTGGTGTTATTTGGTGGTCAGGTTCCTTGGATTCAATCTGAACATGATATGATTCCAAAACCTGCATGAACAAGCTTGAATCATCCTTCATGGGTGAGCTCGTCTTCTAGGTGAACTTGCGACTGGGCAAATTACCTGCGCGCCCGGCTTAGCCAGGGTTGTACCTTATCATTGCTGTTGGTGTATCCCCATCATTCAACTGGCAGTATATTATAATTGTTTTACCCTTGCAGAGCACACCTCGCTCGGAGTTGAGGAGTGATGTTGTTATTGCCAAAACCCCTGAAGTCGGAACACAATGGGGAGACCATCCTGATGAACCCGTTCAGCCCAACCTTGTCAGACATACCCTGAGCCAACTTCGTTTTCGCCCATTCTTTTCTTAGCGGGAGCCTTGTTGACTTTCTAAGGGTCTAAGTTTTGTCCAGTCACGTGCATGTTAATCATGTTATCTTCCTGAAGAGCGAGCAAGAGAGAGAGAGAGAGAGAGAGAGACAGAGAGTGAGTGAGAGAAGGAGAGAGACAGAGAGAGAGTGAGAGAGACAGACAGAGAGAGAGAAAGAGAGAGAGAGAGAGAAAGAAAGAAAGAAAGAAAGGAAGGAAAGAAAGAAATAAAGAAAGAAAGAAAGAGAGATAAAAAGAGAGAGACCCTCAGCATCCCACAGGTGGTGCCCACACTCTTCCTGCAGGCGGGCCGGTCGACGGGCCAGAAGTTGAAGAATGAAGCAACGGGTGGGACGACACTTGCGTGTGGGACAAGCTCCTTACGAGTATTTGGTCTCATCAGGACTCATAGTTCACATGTCCAGGTGGTTTGAGTCCTCAATGAGCCGCTTTTCAGGTAGAACTTTGGCAGAAGGGGGGCAGAGTCATCAAGGTTGCGCACAGAAATGGCTTTTGATGTGCCAAGGTTCCTTAGCTATGCATGTTCCCGGGTCAAAGAAAGTGAACGAATTGACCTGTGCCTGGGGAACGTTGTGCCTTTTGACTATGGAGCGAGTTGTAAGTTGCTGCATTAGGTGAGCATGGTCTCATAGAATCCCACAAGCCATCACAAGTCTCAGCAGTTGGTCCTTTGAAACTTTCATTTCGCAGTGGTCCATGACACGTCCATCATTGTCCCCGCAGAAAACTGCCACTTCGCCTTCCACTCCTCATCGGATCGACATGCTGGGCAGCCCCCTTCCCCGCCCCAGGAGAGATTCTTTGCATGAGCTTTTCTGCAGATTTACATGGAACCCACAAACCATCCCATTGCAAGCTTAGGAATCTCCAGTTGAACAAAAGCAGGCGTGCTGTGGCCAACATCCACCGGTTGGCAGGTGGCTTGTCCGGCTTGCGTCCGCAGCCGGCAGGTTCATGCCATCTCCGAGGAGGCGGCGGCGCAGGAGGTCGCGAGCGCTCAAGGCTCGGGCTGCATCCAGGGTTGCTTTTTTAACAGCTGGGTGGATGTACACCTGGGTTCTGCGGACAAACAGGGATTGGCCAGGTGGATCAACAATCGCATGGCCAGCCGGTTTGAAAGCATGTGCTGGCGAATCACCGGTGATTTTGGATGGATCAGTTGTGAAACTCCGTGCAGGCGACCTCGTTGATTCCCCTCTCCCCTGTGAGTTGCCAGTTCCAAAGCGCAGGGTTCTTCAGTTGAGTTTACTCGAGATGCGTACGTGGGAGCCCTGAAGGAATCTCTTTGCGCATCGGGAGCGCTTTGTGGTATTCTTTGCAGTCTTGAAGCTGTCCAAAAAGGGTTGCAGGTTGCCAACCTTCCTTTTGGATGATTTTTCCACCATAAAGACCCAGTTTATTGGGGTGCAAAGAGGGAGGCTCATCATTCATGATGTGGAGATTTCTGATAGCTGTCTGAATAGGAGTCCATGACAGGCACAGGGAGCGTTGAGCCTGCACTTGGCAAAGCAACTATTTGGAGGGCCAACCCTTTGGCAAAATCAGCGACCACCTCGCGGAAATTTGGTTCCTCCCAGACTTTGGTGTCCGTGCCAACAGGTGAAGTAAAAGGAAGGTAGAGCAAAGGAGAGCCAACAGTTTGCAGAACTCTACACGTTGCACAGCTCTGTCAAATGGACCTTTCTTCCCATGCCACCGTGCCTCTATGGGCTCTCCACAAACAGATGGACCCTGGTTGCCAGATGCCACCACCACGAGGCAAAGTCATAAGTCGGTTGCTTTAGGATCAGATACACGGTTTGGCCAAACACAAACACCACAACTTGATAATTCGGGGGTTGGACCTAAAGGTTTGCGCTGGCGACACCCGTTCGTTCAGTAAAACTCTGGCCAGGGTTCCCAGCTCCCCACACATATGCAAATGCATTTTAACAGGTACCCTCAGGAATGCTGGGTGGACATAAAACCCCATACCAAAGGGGCAATGAAATCCATTACCATGTGAGCCAATGTCAATGTTGCCGAAGTGAAGTGGGCTTCCGGTGGCCTGTTTCAGATCCACCAAGCTGGGAAGCCGCGCGTGCGGTTGCACGGGACCCAAGGGGTTCCTTCTGAGTGTAAGGGAGCCCCAACGGACTCAGGGCGCAGCGTCATTGTCCGGGTTGCTGGCTGGGGACCCCAACCCACCTGTGTTGCTCCATTTTTGTGCGATTTCAAGCCAGAACAACCTTGGGGAGCTACGGACAAGATCCGCTTTGCACTGGGTAGGCGCTTCATCAACCAGTACTCATAGGGATGCATCCAAGCTAGAATTTTGTCCATCCAGAGGAGGTCCCCTACCGCCCTTCGCACCAATAGTGCAGAGGCATCGTCGCGGAGTGCGGGGGCGAGGGCTTCGTCGTGGCCACGGGCAAGGAGGATCGGTCCGCTTGCACTGGGGGTGGGTTCCAGAAAACGAGCGCACGAGTATGTGTCAAGTAGAGGCAACCCCTTTAAAATAGGTTTCGTTCTTCTTTTTGATTTCCGTTCAAAACCTGGCAAGGGTACCGAGCCTCAAAAAGACACGCTCACGAGCAGGCGGCAGTGTCACCGTGAAGCAATAGAGCGCCGCCAAAAAGGCAGACCCCGTCAACCTGCAAATATGGAACCACCAGATCACGAGAGCATTGCCTGTTGCTCACATGAAGGTTGAACACTGCCCCTTCGGTTTGAACAGGAATTGCTATATAGATGCCTTCCAACATATGCCCCTGCAGGAGTTCCTAGACATGCTCCTCTAGGTTTCCTTTGGCCGTCCCAGGCTCGTTCTAATCGAAAGGACCAGTACAAGTGGCCAGGGCACAAAGTTTGAGCAAGAACTGAAGCCAGGGACCGAGTAAGTTTCCTGCGGCTTTCTTCCATGCCCTCCTTTTGCTGACTCAGCTGTATCCTTTGGTCTTGATTCACCGGTTCATTTGCTTGATGCCTTCCAGTCGAGGGCTGTTCCCAGGGCCGGGGCAAAATCGTCATGGTCGATGTGGCCATGGGTCAAAAGCCCGTACCCCCAGTGAACATCCCGATCCCCACTAAAACAAACTAAAATGGGTGGTGCACTTACCCCAAAATGGTACCATTGGTTTTGACCCACCGTCCTGTGTCTGCCTTCAATGGGTTTGGGCCCCAGCCTCCATGGGCACAGCCATGAGATGAATCGCCTGTCTGAAAGGGTGGTTGCCATGCAGCAAGGGTTCCAGGTTGTCTGAGAGAGGTGTTCCCCAATTTGAGGCAAGCAAGCAAGCAAGCAAGCAAGCAAGCAAGCAAGCAAGCAAGCAAGCAAGCAAGCAAGCAAGCAAGCAAGCAAGCAAGCAAGCAAGCAAGCAAGCAAGCAAGCAAGCAAGCAAGCAAGCAAGCAAGCAAGCAAGCAAGCAAGCAAGCAAGCAAGCAAGCAAGCAAGCAAGCAAGCAAGCAAGCAAGCAAGCAAGCAAGCAAGCAAGCAAGCAAGCAAGCAAGCAAGCAAGCAAGCAAGCAAGCAAGCAAGCAAGCAAGCAAGCAAGCAAGCAAGCAAGCAAGCAAGCAAGCAAGCAAGCAAGCAAGCAAGCAAGCAAGCAAGCAAGCAAGCAAGCAAGCAAGCAAGCAAGCAAGCAAGCAAGCAAAGCTGCCAAGCAAGCAAAGCTGCCAAGCAAGCAAAGCTGCCAAGCAAGCAAGCAAGCGAGCGAGCAAAGAGTGAGCAAGCAAGCAAGCAAGCAAGCAACCAAGCAAGCAAGGAAGCAAGGAAGCAAAGAAGCAAGGAAGCAAGGAAGCAAGGAAGCAAGGAAGCAAGGAAACAAGGAAGCAAGGAAGCGAGGAAGCAAGGGAGCAAGGGAGCAAGGGAGCAAGGAAGCAAGCAAGCCAGCCAGCCAGCAAGCCAGCAAGCCAGCAAGCCAGCAAGCCAGCAAGCCAGCAAGCTAGCAAGCGAGCAAGCCAGAAAGCCAGAAAGCCAGCAAGCCAGAAGCCAGCAAGCAAGCAAGCAAGCAAGCAAGCAAGCAAGCAAGCAAGTAAGCAAGTAAGCAAGGAAAAGAACACACACACACACACACATCATTGATTCATGTTTAGTCATGGCCCCCATGACGAACCCTGTCCTTCAGTCCTTGTTAGTCCTTATTGCCATGGGCTCTTGTCCGGGGCTGGGGTTTTCGCAGTTTGACACGGATGCCTGTGATTGGACAATGAATGTCAGAGTTCAAACGTGCTGCAAAATGGTTGCCGGACATCAATTCTTATGTAAATGCTGTCCACTAAAGTGCCCAAACTAGAATCAATCCCCCGTATCAGTACTGTATTGTAGCAGAGCAGTCAAACTGGGCAACGTCAACTCGATCGGCAAGAAGCCAGCAGTGCACCGCACTCGCAATGAAAGCAGAGTAGGGAGTCAGCTTCCCCAGTGAGAGCCCCCAGTCAGTGAGCGAATTCAGTCAGCGCCCCCGGCCCAGTTTTTAAGCCGCAGGACCAAAAGGCGCTCTGGGACCTGCGCAGGGCCGCCTACTACGCTTGCCAGAAGAACCGTCAGCACATGGTGCACTACGGTGCCAAGGCCTGCCCGCGGCCAGCGGCCAGGGCGGAGCGAGAACCGGAAGCGAACACATTCCATTTGTAGCCGTGGCTATACGGGAATTTACAAACCCTTTGGCGGTCACACTCACAACTGAGCTGGTTCCAGAGTTGGCTTGCTTGCTGGTTCTCAGTAAGGACAGAGGTTTTGGCTGAAAGGAAACCCCAAGGGATTGTTAATGGTTGGTTCGTCATTCTGTGCCGAGAACCAGCAAGATTGGTTTCATGTGGGGTCTGTCCAGCTGGGCACAGTTAATTGTGTTGAACCTTGCACCTTTCACCTCGGAAATGCGCGTGTCCCAGGCGTTCTTACATGTCCCCTTTCAGGGTGTTTGTAAACATCACCTTTGTTCCTTTGGATTGGGTGGTGTTTATTTGTAGGGGAAGCATAAGGACCCCTGCTTCCCCACTTAGAAAGGTGAACCTTTTGGGCTACAGACCAACTCGGTTTGGGTGGTTGGGTTTGATGAAATTTTGCACCGGTCAATCACGTGGCTGATCCGGGCCAGGGGCGTGCAGCACTTCAGCTTGCGTGTTCAACGGGCCCATTTCACCTGGGCATCCAAGTCATGGCAAATTTGTGGCGCCCTGTCCTTAACTTTCATGTAGGACGACTTGCCCACAGGTACTGAACCAAGAATACTGCTTTCCGACGGGCCGGCAGAAGTGGGCCAGGCTTGTCGGTATCAACCATTGGCCATGCATGAGCAACACTTTGTAACGCCCCTAAGGCCAGTCAAGTTTGAGGGGGACGTCAGCCTGAAGTGGGGCTCCGGTTGGTGTTGCTTTGACAGCCCTTGATCTTGGCACCCGCTCAAGTCATTCTTGTAATCAGGCACTGATTGATGCGGTGTGATGCGCATGTTGCAGACCAACATGAATCGCTCAGCCTTCACAATTTGTGGCCCCCCCCCCGACTTAATAAGATCGATCCAAGCGTTCTACGGCTGACCGGCGCCAAAGGATAGGGAATTTATTCTGCTGTCCTTGACTTTCATTGGAGTAGTGGCGGCCAGTTGAACCCAAAGTGCCACAGCCAACACTGCCAGTCCCATGAAGGCCAGTAAGCTTGTCTTAACAAGAGGGTTGCTTTCATGTTTGTTTTCCTTCAGAACCAACCCCCAACATTCAAAAGACAACGAACGAAGGCAGGGAGTGCATGGGCCAGTGAACCAGAGGCGGAAGTCCTGGGTGTCAGGACATTCGCATGCTGAGCACTGACGTGTGCGTGCCCTTGGGGAACTTCCCGCGGCTGATCGAGGTGAGAGGGCGGGCGACAAAGAGGGAAAGAGAAAAGATAGGGACCGAAAGAAAGAAGAGAAAGGAAGAAAGAAAAGAAAGAAAGAAAGAAACAATCTTAAAAATAAAATAAAAGCAAAACGAAAACGAAAAGCAAGAAAAGACGCAATCAAAGGAAAGGTATTAAAATCAATAAACGAGGCAAGACATTCCAAAGGGACCGCTAACGTCCCTGAAGCTGGCATGTAATTTGACAGCCCCCCCTTCAAAAGGAAGAAGAGGTTTGCACGGGATTCAGAGAGCTGGGAGATCCGGCTCATGTCACACAAGACACCGGTGCTATCATTGTGGGCTCAGTAAAAACGGACGAAAGATACATCTGGGCCAGTCAAAGCAAATCTCAAAAATAGGAGCTGATTTAGCGGCTCCAACTCCGTGCAAAGCAGGTGGTTTTGGGATGTATGCTTCAAGGAACAGGGTTCCTGTTCAATGAAAAGACCCGAAACAAATCCACAAGTTCAAAGCCCTCGATCCCTTTTCGGCTGGGGCGTGTGTCGAAGGAACCGGTCTGGACTCGCCAGGAGACGGAGCAGGACTACGCGGCCACGGCTCGAGCGACGAAGGTGCCGCTGCTCTGCAACATCTTCGGCCACGCGGCGGACGGGAACTTCCACTGCGTGGTGCTGTACGACCACGACAACGTCCGGGACCGTATACCTCACACCCCAGCAGAGGGGTCTCCTCCAATATATATATATATATGTATGTATACACATATATATATATATATATGTTTAAATGTGTGTGTGTGTGTGATTTTTTAGGGTAGACTCAATATCAAGCAGAATCTGAACATATCCATGTTTGTGTACGAGTAATAGTAGTAGCAGTAGTAGTAGTAGTAGCAGCAGCAGCAGCAGTTTTATACAAGACCGGGAGATTAGGGCCCAAAGCGAACTCGTGATCCGTGGTTCGAAGCGCTGGCCTGCGGAACGTGAAGTCGAATTGGGGTTGGAGATCACCTTTGGAATGGTACGCTTCCGTTTTCGGAAAGCATCCGGCTGTTCAGTCCCTAGCCTACTATGAGCCAGCCGGCACGCAACCTCTTTGGTTTTTAACAGCCGACCCTTTCAGAAATCAGCGATGTTGAAGGGGGATCTTGCTTCCAGCAGCAAAGCAAAATCCAGCGCTGAATGCATCTGATGTTCTTGACCGGTTCGCTGCTAGCGCAAATGAGTCACACGCGGGAAGCTAGTATTGTCAGCATATTTTTCATAGTCATGGGGGGTCGTCCGTGGTCAATGTATTTCTATGCATTGAGAAATCTATCCAAAATTTTGGCCGCCTTTGAATGGCTGGATGGTTGCCTTTGCGCTTGTGGCGTTTTTCAAGTGCCAATTGTGTTAAAGGGACAGCGAAAGTCAGGCCGTGTTGGCCCGTGTCTGTCCATTTGAACAGCAATCAAAAGGGACCCATATTTGGAGCTTCGATGAGTACTGCGGGGGGTGTCAGTACCAAGGTGGTCAAGGGTGAACAAGGGTCAACAAGGATTCACGCCACAACCTGCAGAAATTTGGTTTCTAGGGACATGTCCTGTGATGGGAATCCCCTTGATAGTGATATAGCTATTTTCCACCGCCATTATTTTGCCTCCCACAACCACGACTCACACCCATGTTTCCCTTTCGGTTTTGGTCAACCGACGATCCAAAAGTTGATCGATGACCGCCTATGATGATATCTACGCCCTTTGAGTCAAGTGAGAGCGTCGAACTCTTCTAAACTTCAAGGCTTTTCTTTTCACGACACGTGAGGAACTTTGGGTTGGCTTGCTTGGGAAGACAAAGGGAACCCGCCCCGTTGTGGTTGGGTTCCGTAGATACCAAGGGCAACCGACCCCAGTTCCTTACTCGTGAGACCTCTGGCTCGTTGTGCTCAACAGACATTTACCGACTACTGACGACTGCAAAGGGGCCATAGGTTACACCAAAGTTACACCAAAGTAGCTCAAATCCAATGTCATTTTGCTGGCTCTGCGCAGCCTATGAACACACGTCCTTCAGGGGAATTCATTCCCAAGACCCCTCTTGATTCTCCAGAACCAATAAAATTAAATCATGTCACCAGCGCCCCTCAAAGAACAAGCATCCAAGACGTGTCTCCATTAATTACAGCCAATGGGGCCCCTCCACTCCCATTACTCCACCCCTCCATCCCTCCCCTCCATCCCTCCCCTCCATCCCTCCCCTCCACCCCTCTCCCTCCACCCCCCTCCCCTCCCCTCCACCCCCCTCCACCCCGCTCCCTCCCCTCATGCCATTCGCAGGACCGGGAGGTCTTGGAGGCCTTGGACCGGCGCATGTGGAGCCGGTGCCTCGCCCTGGGCGGCTCGGTGAGTGGGGAGCACGGCTGCGGCATGGGCAAGGTGCCCGCCCTCCAGGCGACCGGAGAGGGGCCGGCCGCAGCGCGAGGAGTGAGGAGTGAGCCCGGGAACGCGGGGGTTTTGGTCTTTTTTGGGTAGAGGTGTTTCCGTGTTTCTTGGGGGTACCCTAGAGTTTATGGCAAATGTTATGGGTGTTGTGTTTATTGTTATAGTTTGTGTTAAGGGGGTGACAAAGGAAACCATTTGTTTTGAAGGTTGCTGCATTTTGAGGCACATCCATTGTCAATGTTTGCACTGCAAAGCCCAAGGTCCAAGGTTTTGAGTTTGAGCCACGGGGCAGAGCTCCTTTTTAACTTCGATCACCTTGATGCTTTGGCGGGCGGTCTCATTAGGTCTGCCGATGACGCTCCTTCTTGAATGTTTCAGTGCTTCAGGAATTCTCGTGCAACCAGACTTTGTTTGTTGGTTGACAACGGTGTGCTTTGTGTGTTTGTGGTGGTTGGTTAAATGGTCGGCCAAGTGCTAAAGCTAGCGGTGGGTCGATGTCTGAGATGCGTGCGAAGATCATGCCAATTGTTGTCTTCACTATTTTCAGGCAAACACGCTCAAGGACTCGATTTGCTTTTAGAGAGATGTCCTCTTTGTTGGTGCCATCTTGAGAGGCAACGACTCTCGGACGGGTTTCTTCCAGACAGGTCAAGCGTGTGGTATGGTTTGGTGAATCCCTTGAGTGACGTTTGCCCAATCATGCAGGATCAAAATGGTGTCCTTTTCGTTTTTGTTTTTCTCAGAGTGTCAACCTCCAACCACTGTCCTGAACGGTGGTTACACTCCAAATGACCATGGAATCTGAAAAGCAGCCGCTTTTAGAGGAATTTCCTTTGGTGCTTTTTTAGGATTCCTCCCGTTTAATTTTGCAGGGGAGTACCCCACTGTCAAAATCTTCAGGAGGATGCCAACATATCCAGGCAAATGACGTCACCGCGATCCATTCAAAGTGGTTATGCAGTGGTTACCCCCGATGTCTTCCTTAGGTTTCAAAGGTTTTCTCCGGCCAGGCGGAGTGGGGCGCAGAGGCGATCGCCCTGATGTGGCGCCTGAAGAAGTGCCGGGGCCCCCCGGTCGACCGGTCGACGGTCGGCTCAGGTGGCACCACGCGGTGCTCCCTGTTTTCCTTTTTTGACATTTGCCCAAACAACGCCTGGGGGGGGGGGAGAGTTTTTTGCAAGTGGCAACCCAAAACAGGGGAGCCCTTTTTTCCGGGTCTGAGGTTGAGCTTGACATCTGGTGAGTGTTGACCCCAGATTTGACACCAGTTTCACTTCGGCATGGCCCCGGAAAGTGAAGGCCTTTTAGAAGGGGACCGAGTAATTTTTGGGGCTCCCAGTAAGAATGGACACCTTGAAACAGTCGGTTTGCCTTTCTTCCCGTGGACATCCACAAGAAGGGTGCCAAGTCGAGCTAGAACACCCGCATGATATGGAAGGTGCCGAATCCACCTTTGGACACCAGAGTTCTGGAAGGGGTACTCTGCTGGTCGCATGTGACGATGAGTAGAACCTTGGTGGACCGTACATGTGCCTCACAGCAGGGGAATATTGGTGTAGTCAGAATGGGAAGTGCGTTGTGGCCGTTTGCTTTGTGAGTGCAAATGCATGGGCCGACAGGAAGAGCGTCTGTGTGTGTGTGTGAGACTGTGAGAGTGTGAGAGTGTGTGTTTGTGTGTTTGTGTGTTTGTGTGTTTGTGTGTTTGTGTGTTTGTGTGTTTGTGTGTTTGCATGTTTGTGTGTTTGTGTGTTTGTGTGTTTGTGTGTTTGTGTGTTTGTGTGTTTGTGTGTTTGTGTGTTTGTGTGTTTGTGTGTTTGTGTGTTTGTGTTTGTGTTTGTGTTTGTGTTTGTGTTTGTGTGTTTGTGTTTGTGTGTTTGTGTGTTTGTGTGTTTGTGTGTTTGTGTGTTTGTGTGTTTGTGTGTTTGTGTGTTTGTGTGTTTGTGTGTTTGTGTGTTTGTGTGTTTGTGTGTTTGTGTGTTGTGTGTTTGTGTGTTTGTGTGTTTGTGTTTGTGTGTGTTTTGTGTTTTTGTGTTTATGTTTATGTTTGAGTTTGTGTTTGTGTTTGTGTGTGTGTGTGTGTCTGAGTGCGTGTTTTTGTGACTCTCTTATTGAAGGCCATCTTGCTGTGCACTCCAATCCTTTTATTTGCAGATCATACCAAGAGCACAAGCTGCATCTCTACCCATGGGGCCGTGTTTCTATGTTTCGACTTGTGTAGTGACGTGGCGGGTCCAGGTTTGCCCATTCACCAAGGCTTGGATGAGCAGGAGATCCTGAACCCGGGAAAGCTGCTGCCGGCCAGGCGCGGGACACGGGCGACCGCAAGCGCGGGCGTGTCTTTGTTTTGAGGGTACCCTTTCTGAGTCGGTTTGCAAGAGAGACCAGGAGGAAACGATTCATTTTGGGGACCTTTATTTTGAGACACACCCTCCTATGCTGAGAGACACCCTCGCGGTCACGGTGAATGATAGTCGTTGATAGTATTCCAGCACGCTTCGGCATACATGATTGCTGGAAACAGGATCTCGAGACTGTCCTTTATTGGCAATAAGTGGGTTCCTGAAGTTAGTGCTGCCCAGCAAAGGAATGGCTGTCTCGACAGTCGACTTTGCCAAAGTCAACATAGCCGACCATCAGCCTGTCAAGGCCACTTCGTGATGCCGAAGGAATGATTCGATCATTAGCGGAGTCTTGACACATTAAACTTCGCTACCACGGGTTCATGAATTAACAACCAGAATTTGCCTGATGGCTGCCTTGCCATGATGGTTTTTGTTTGAAGGCATTCCATTTCTCTCCTCGCAGTCTCTCCCACCGTTGAGGAATTTAGTGGTGTTTGATCGCATTTGGAGAGCGCTGATTTGTTCACCATTGTCGTGTGTGGTCTTGGTGCGGCCTAATTTGATGACAGATGAAGACAGCAGGGCATGCCATTCTCCCATCGTTCAGGTTGCCAACGAAATCATTCCGTGGTAGTTTGGGCCTGTTGTCGCCGGCTTCCGTAGAAAGGAGGTGGCGACCGGCCCTTGAGACAAATGGCACCTTGTCTTGAGCATGAGTGAAGCACCGCCGCCGCCGCAGCACGACCAACTTTAAGTATCGTTTAGAGATCCTTGGTACGTTTGCCAGCCGCGTTCCAGGGTTGCCATGTCGTCTCCCAGGGGAAGAAGCCCCACCAAGACTTCGGTCCATGTGGTGGAGCTACCCAAGCTGGTGAGGCGTAAGATGGGCATGCACCACGTGTGGGTGGTGGACCGCAGCCAGGTCCAGGTGAACCATTCGCAGGATCCCGGAAGGACCACTTCGCCACAGCTGGCTTCAAGCCCCTGCACACCTTCCTTCAAGCCGAGCCCTCCAAAGAGGCACTGCTTGCGTGACACGCCGGACACGCCAGACACGCCGAACATGCCAGGCACTGCGACAGACGCAACACCTGACAAGCCCGGCACGCCTGGCATGGCACCAGCCACGCCTAGCCCTGCTCCATGCACGCCTGGTCAAGCACCAGGAACGCCCAGCATGGGAGCACCAGGCACACCCGGCATGGCACCAGGCACACCCGGTGCAGCACCAGGAACTCCCGGCATGGCAGCACCAGGCACACCCGGCATGGCACCAAGCACACCCGGCATGGCACCAAGCACACCTGGCATGGCACCAGGCACACCCGGTGCAGCACCAGGAACTCCCGGCATGGCAGCACCAGGCAGACCCGGCACAGCACCAAGCACACCAAGCACACCTGGCATGGCACCAGGCACACCGGGTGCAGCACCAGGAACTCCCGGCATGGCAGCACCAGGCAGACCCGGCATGGCACCAAGCACACCCGGCATGACACCAAGCACACCAAGCACACCTGGCATGGCACCAGGCACACCCGGTGCAGCACCAGGCACACCCGGCATGGCACCAAGCACATCCGGCATGGCACCAAGCACACCTGGCATGGCACCAGGCACACCCGGTGCAGCACCAGGAACGTCGGGCATGGCACCAAGCACACCCGGCATGGCACCAACCACGCCTGGCATGGCAGCACCAGGCACACCCGGCATTGCACCAGGCACACCCGGCATGGCACCAGGCACACCCGGCATGGCACCAGGCACACCCGGCATGGCACCAGGCACACCCGGTGCAGCACCAGGAACGCCCAGTATGGCTTGTGGGGAGGTGAAGCTTTCCAGAAATAGCACGGATGAGGCTTCGACCGAACAGAGGTGGGGCTAGGCGAAATCGGATGAATGAATCTCCAACTTGAGTATCATATCTGAAGGTAACAACCTTGTCCAACCGCTGAACCCTGATGCATTGGGGGCGGGGGGGTAAATCACAGGGGTGGTCTTGTTCCGCTTGCACTATTTGAGGCATGTACCAATCAAGCTTGAAGCTGGTTACAACTTACCCCATCAACCATCAGCAGCACAAATCTAGCATCTAGCGAAACCAACAACAGGTAGACAACTGGTCTTCTTTTCCGACAGCTCAACAGAAAGAACCCCAAAACAAAGATCAACGTAGAAGACCATGCGTTACTGTGGGGAAAACCAGCAACAATTGCAAGGCCGTCATGAAAACCTTTCGGTGGAGTGATGTTTAAACTGCGGGTCCAACAAGAGTACCTTGGTTTTGCCAGCATTTAACTTGGTGACTAAATAGAGCCACACCCGTGAAAAGGGTTCCCGCACTACAACAGCTGCCCTTGTTTAGACAGGCAAATATCAATCACCCCCTTTTTCATGTCCACAAGCCACTCGTAAAAGTGAATTCTAGGATTCGTAGTCATATTTGTGTTCACCCAAGCATTTCCCTCTAGGGACTCTCTTTCAGATTCCATGTTTGTTTTTGGGCTGGGGAATCTGTGGGAGGCTGTCCACCAACCACTTTTCAGGGTATTTTTTATTGGAATGCATAGCCATACGCGCATGAGCTGAAATAGGGGAACTCTCAAAATCATGGTTTGCCTTTTGGCACCCAGGTGGGTACCCTCCAACAAAAGCCACGCACACCCATTTGACAAAAGGCCGCAGAACGGAGGTCGCGGGACTCCTCCACAGAGTCCAGCTCCGTCTCTAAGTGCAGCGATTCCTCCCGCTCCCGTCGCCCGAAAGCTGCGGCGTGGCCGGCGGTGTGGCACCCCACATTTCATTCGCTGGCGCCTTGCCCGGGGGCTTTTGGGGGGTCAACTTCGGAGTCTTCGGAGTGCGTTGAGGGAATGCCCCCCGCTCACCAAGGGATTTTGGTCGGTTTAGTGGAATTTGGTTGTAAACTTCGGAATTTATCCGGACCGTACCTTTGCGCACTAAAGAGGAAACCAACCCTTCATGATACGAAGCTGACACTACGGTTTGGCGAGCCAAAGCAAACTTCTTTCAAAATGTTCCATCAGTACCATTAAGTAGCAGCATGGAAGTTGTGATGGCCAGAATGGTTTTGCATTCGTGCCAGAAGCATTAGGTCTGCCTGAGCAAGGGATGTCCATCCAAGCGCGAAACTGCACATTTGGTGCATGCGTCAGCTCTGTGGGCATGGTTTGTGTTTGTGCTTCACGTGTACCTGCGACACTCGTCATGTACCCACCTCTTTGCCGGCCTGCGTGCGATTCAAGTGTAGGGTTTGCTCTGAACAAATATTGCCAAGGCCCAGTGTCCTTGACTTTCCTTGGAGCCAATGTTCTAATTGAATCCTGAAGCCAGACCGACAGGACGACTTGTTGTGAAAGACGTCACCCGAAGACTTGCCCAAAGCTCTACCCAAAGTGGCTTTCTTTGGAGCAAAGCTTGTTGGTGTTCTTGGTCTTACGTGTGATGACGTTGAGGGAGATTCTTGAAATGGTGGACCCTTTTGAGTTGGTACTTAAATGGCAACCGAGACGAAACCGAATATTTTGGAGCACCAGCATTTGAGAACACCCCTCAGATACGGACTCCCCGAATGAGAATATTCGGGAAAAGGCGTGGTTCCTCTCTTTGCAAAGCTTCTTCTGTCTCAACTGACCAAGGACACGATGCACGCTGCCAATTTGCAGGCCTGGTACCACTGCGCAGTGCAGCGCGCTGAATGCCGATCTGCACCCACCGAGGAGTCGAGGGGATCAACAGATCATCGGCATGTAGCAGGGTTCCCCCGTATGGCTGTGAATTTCAATGGGAATACCCGCCAAAAGACTGGGTGTACACAAATCCCCATGCAAAAGATGTGCACAGGAGGATCCCAAATTGAAAATCATCTCATCATCCCCAGATTTCCCCTTTGAAGGGTAGTGTTCAGCATCACCTGTTGGTTGCCAATTGATATCAGTTTGTTGTTTTTTTTGAGGGGGGGATGTTCAAAGTGGAGATTGAGGGATACCAGGATGTGTTGGAAGCTTTGGGAAGGGGTCCTCACTTGTGGATTGCTTCGGCAACCCAAAAGATCTTGACGATACAAGTCGGACAGCATCCAAAGCGCTCTGTTACATGACCGATTCGCCAGTCACACACACACACACACACACACACACGCACGCACGCACGCACGCACGCACGCACGCACGCACGCACGCACGCACGCACGCACGCACGCACGCACGCACGCACGCACGCACGCACGCACGCACGCACGCACGCACCCCAGGGAGTCCAAAGGCCTGAGTTACGGAGGCCGTTTCAACACGGAGGTTTTTTACGGCCTTTTTACGGGGTGTTTACGTCCTTTTTACGGGCTTTTTACGGCCTTTTTACGGGTTTTCTACGGCCGTTGACAAAAGGCCTAAGTTACTCAGGCCGAGGAAGCTCTGGGCACGCACGCACGCACGCACGCACGCACGCACGCACGCACGCACGCACGCACGCACGCACGCACGCACGCACGCACGCACGCACGCACGCACGCACGCACGCACGCACGCACGCACGCACGCACGCACGCACGCACGCACGCACGCACGCACGCACGCACGCACGCACGCACGCACGCACGCACGCACGCACGCACGCACGCACGCACGCACGCACGCACGCACGCACGCACGCACGCACGCACGCACGCACGCACGCACGCACGCACGCACGCACGCACGCACGCACGCACGCACGCACGCACGCACGCACGCACGCACGCACGCACGCACGCACGCACGCGCGCGCGCGCGCGCGCGCGCGCGCGCGCGGCGCGCGCGCACGCACGACGCACGCCCGCACGCACGCACGCACGCACGCCCGCCCGCCAACCCGCACGCACGCCCGCACGCCCGCACGCCCGCCCGCACGCCCGCACGCACGCACGCACGTGCGCGCGCGAACGAACGCACGAACGATCGAACGAACGAACGATTAAACGATCGAACGAACAAACAAACAAACAAACAAACAAACAGACAAGCGACCACGCAAACAAGCAAACAAGCAAGCAAGCAGGCAAGCAAGCAAACAAGCAAACAAGCAAACAATCAAACATACAAACACAAGCAAACAAACAAACACACAAACACAAGCAAACAAAGAAACAATCACAAGCAAGCAATCAAACAAACATAAGCAAAGAAGCAAACAAACAAACAAACAAGCAATCAAACAAACAAGCAAGCAACCAAACAAACAAACAAACGAGCAAGCAAGCAATCAAACAATCAGATAAACAAACAAACAAACAAACAAACAAACAAGCAATCAAACACAAGCAATCAAGCAATCAAGCAATCAAACAAAGAAGCTGGCAAACAAATTAGCAAACCAACAATCAAACAAACAATCAAACAATTAATCAAACAAACAAACAATCAAACAAGCAAACAATCAAACAAGCACGCAAGCAGACAAGCATACAAGCAGACAAACACACAAACAAGCCAGCAAACAAACAAAGCAACACATAAACAAACAAAGAAACAACCAAACAAGCAAGCAAAGCAAACAAACAAACAAGCGACCAAGCAAACAAACAAACAAGCGACCAAGCAAACAAGCAAACAAAGAAGCAAGCAAACAAGCAAGCAAGCAAACAAACAAACGACTGACTGACCGACCAGCTAACTAACTAAGTAGCTAAGTAACTGAGTAACTAAGTGACTAACCAACTAGCACACGTCGATCCGGATGTATGTTCCGTATGCCTGCTGCTTACGTGTCGACTGGAGTGGAGGTAGACATATTTGGGGTAGACCGGTAGACCATGGCTCACTGAATCCAGTATGTGGCTCGAACATGTGTTACTGAGCCCTGGGTTGGGGTTGAACAGTGACTATCTGACTATCGACTATCTCTCCCCACGCAGTAAGTGATTGAACGCCGTCAATTATGCCGAGTAGGACTTACCCGACCCTTCAAGCAAGTGGAACTTATCAACTTTAGCTAATTACAAAGTGACTCGGTCGTCCACTTTTGCACGGTTCCCCCGCCTAAATCAGTTGGCGATCAGACCGGGATCAGCCATCAATCTAAGAAACAGCTTCAGGATCTCCAGGCAAGCAGCAGGAAACAAGCCAAATCCCCCTGTGTGCAGTGGGTGGTTGGCCGAGATGTTCACATGCGTCTTCTTTTAAACTGCTTGGTCAAATGGGTATGATTCTTCTTTTGCTGGGACCCTCCACACATCATTAGGCAGAGATTGTCCACCACCCCCACCCCCCCTCCCCCACCCCACAAATAAAGAAAGAAAAATAAGTCACGGCAAAATGATATCCCTCAAAATGCAACCACGTTAAGAAACCCAGTACCATGGCCGCAGGGCTTTCAAATCAATTCCCATCATTCCCATAGGAGATCTGCTGCTTGGGCTGCTGCTGCCGGCGCTGCATCGGACTCCCTGCGGCCTTCCGGAGGCGGGCGTGGCAAGCCCCGCGGCTTTCTTTCCAATTCTTTTTTAAATAGGTTTGGGTTGAACGTGGATCAGGAGTTAGGGAACAAATAATATCTTTCTGTGAAAAGAGCAGTTCTGTGAATTCTGTGAAAAACTGTCTTTTCGGGAATCAGCCACTTCAGCTTCAGGTATCAACCACGAAAGGGTGCCATATTGGTCGCCTTTTGAAACGTTCCCCAGAAAATCCAGGGACCCCCAAAAAGGGTGGTTTTTCCTTTGGCTTCCCTTTTGAAACAATCCCACACGAACGACACGCCCATGTGCGTGTTTGGCTTTCCGAAAGCAGCGTGTACCCGTCATGACCCCTTCCCTTGAAAGAAATCAAGGGGAAGACAAAATCCCAAGGACCCCAGTTGCCCAATGGCGCCCTTCTTTTCAGGAAGGGTTCCCCTATAGACTCAACAGAAAAGGATGCCCTCTTTGTTCCCGATGGCCCCTAGGCATTCTAGGCACCTTTGAAACCCCAAGGATCAAACCCACCCCGCAGGCCCAAAGTGCGCCTGGTGCCCCGGAAAGCGAAAGAAGCGTCCAGTGACACGGAGTCCACCACCTCCTTGTCCTCGGATGAGGACCTGCAATTCGCCTTGGGCTGGTTTTGAAGAAAAAAGCGAAGGGGAGGGGGGGAGAATGGGTGTGACGCTTTTGGAGGTGGACTCTTTTTGGTGGTGTTAATGGGAAATTAAGGGGAAACCAGTGGGGTTTGTCCTATGTTGTATAGAGAATCCCCATGTACCCGGGCAAAGCCTGGGAAAGTCACTCTGCACATGGTGTTGGGTGTATAGACGCTTTTAGATCTCGTGTGAGTCGTCAACAAAATATTGGTTGTCTATTTGCTGAATTGCAAGGACATGAGTCTTCCAAGGCGTGTAAGAACTTGTGGCCCCTCAAAGGGGAATGCCCTTTCCCCTTATCACCGATTTGTGGGCAAGAGCTCATGTGCTGATGATTCAAAGCAAGCCAGCCTTTTGAACCATCCTTCGGCTGTCCAGGGACTGGGCTCGAGTTGGCTCCAAAATGTTCCACCCCCCCCCCCCCCCGCCAGGCTGACAAACAATCAGCTCAATCCTGCCCATAGTTTCTTTCATACACTGGTCAGTCGAATAAAGGATATGTTTTGACCAATCGGATCATTGTTGGGGCCTGTGGGTGTTGGGGGACTTCCCCGTGTACCTCAGCTACTGTTGCAGGTGGAACTATTTGGGTAGCTCAACGTTTCACCTGTCCGGCGATGACTCTTTGTATCGTTTGACCTGTGAACCTTTGTGGTTTGGACATTG